TCCCTCCCTCCCTCCCTCCCTCCCTCCCTCCCTTCTTCCTTCCCTCCTTTCACCTCTCTCTGCCTACAGATCAGGATGCAGCTCTCAGTGACTGACCACGCCTGCCTACTCGCCTGCCATGTTCTCTACCATGATGAGGATGGACTGAACCTCTGAAACTGTAAGCCAGCCCACAATTAAATGTTGTCCTTTAGGAGAGCTGCCATGGTCATGATGTCTTCTCACATTTGATCACTTAGAACACTGATGAGGAGAGCCGCTCCCAGAGTCTTTGACCACTGCCAGGTGCTGCTCCTGAGTCTCCCTGCTGCCTTCCGGACAACGGTGACATCTACACGGGCACCCCGTCTTTCCACTGAACCTCTCAATAACTTGCTGTCTGATTTGGCAAAACCATTGGGTTGGCAAAGAGAGCACTGCCTCTATGTGGTTGGCTGGCCCAGGATGCTAGTGTGCAGAGGGCAGTCTGGGACTCAAAAGGAAGGCAGTGTTACCCAGAGAAAAGTCCCCAGGATTGCTATTGGGATAACAGAAGAATGGAAACACAGGCCCTGCTCACATGAGCAACTTTTGAGGAAGACAGGTTGCAGGATGAGATTCTCTTGCGCCTATCACAGACCTTCAGAGTAACTAGGAGAAAGACAAGATACCTAAGGGCAGCCTAGAGAAGCATGGGTGTCGGGCAGTGGGGCACACTGTGATGCTACAGCTTTCATGGAGAGATGTTTTCTAGGATTTGTTTTGTTTATTTATTTTTGGTTGTTTGTTTTTTTTATTTTATTTGGGGAGAAGAGGTTTCAAGGGCAGAGGGTGACTACAAAGGGACAGGGAGATGATGGGGCTGGGGTGTATGATGTGAAACTCACAGCATCAATGCAAAATCGAGAACAGAGAATGCACACGGGGAACTAGGAAGTATCTGTGAGCTGAAAACACACGTCAAATGTCTGAGATGGGGCTCAGGCGATGAAAAGGGGAGATTTATATCTTCAGGCATCCGTACCAGGAAAGAACATTATCCCATAAATAACCTATGTGTTTGCCTTCAGAAGCGGAAAAGCAGGAACTCAACGTTAATAAATCAGAGAGGGGGAAAAAGGAAATAAATCCCAGGACAGAAAAATAATAAGAAAACCACCAGTGTCACACGGAACTAAACCTGCCAGTGTCACATGTAGTTGGCTCTTTGCAAACAGAATTCAGCTAGATTGACAAGGCTTTGTCTAGCTGACTGAGCCAATAGGAGAGGGGACATCAGTTTTCAGCATCAAGAATGAGAGACAGGCTACTCGCAAGCTGCCTTGGATAAACCTCAAGGATTAAAATCAAATGCTGTACATGTTGGTGCTAACAAATTACATAACACAGACAAAGCAAGTTCCAAAGAGACCCATATCACCAAACTGCCTCGAAGAACAAAAGACTCAGAATAAAGACTTAGAATAAAGTTACATTTTTTTTTTAAAGGGCATCAATTCAGCTGTTAAGAACCTCCCCAAAGCTGGGTATGTAGGGCACACCCATGATCCCAGCAGGCAGGATGGACTATTAGATAGTCTTGGGCTGGTGTAGGTTACTGCAGCCAAGTGTATACTGGTACACATACATGTGTACCCCAGTATAAACATGCATACATCATATACATAAACCCCACATACACATGTACATAAAAACATACCCACCCAGGTATACATAAATCATATTCACACACATAAGCCACACATATATATACACATATTCCACATACAGACACCACACACATCCACATACACAATCCATACACATACATACCACAGACATACATAGACATATACACAAACCACACAAACATATTCATATACACATACATAGACTAGACACAAACTATATACACTACACATACATGAACAAGCCACACATATGAACAAATACATAAAAACTACACATGTACACACACATACATATACATGCATGCATGTGACACTCCCCACCCCTAGAACTCATTAGAGTTTAGAAAGGTGAACATATGTAAGAACCATAGGCAAAATTCAATTTTATTGCTACATCTGAGTAACCAACCATCTGAAAATAAAATTCAGAAAAATTTCACCTGCAATAACATAAAAAAAATAACAGGAATAAATCTAGAAGAATAAATTTATCAAAAGGGCTGGGAGACAGATCATCGGAACTCACGCCTACATGGCCCACACGCGGTTCGAGCTGTCTCCCCAGCCCCAGGAACCTCTGCACTACACGTTTGTAATACCCTAATGACATGTATCTTGGAGGGGCATGAAGGCAGCAGAGCGATCCGTCCAAGTGGTAATGAGGTGGGGGACTCACCCTGACACCCTGTCTAACTCTGTATTTGAGATTTTCTGTAAGACAAGCCAGGTGTCGTGCTGCAGGCCTTTAATCCCAGCACTTGGGAGGCAGAGGCAGGTGGATCTCTGTGAGTTTAAGGCCAGCCTGGTCTACAGAGTGAGTTCCAGAAGCGCCAGGGCTACACAGAGAAACCCTGTCTCGAAAAAACAGAGAGAGGAAGAGACAGAGAGGGTGGGGGATTTGTAATATAAAGCTAAAGCACACAGCTGCACAGTGACACAAAGGCTCGATGGCTGTCCAGTGGACCCTACTAAACCATAGGCTTAAATTTCCCTAGGTGGAGCTTTGTCAACTTGTTTCTTGTACAAAGTCACATTGTTAGTGAGAATTTCAAAGCTGAATTCTGACCTGGAGAGTACCGCATCACGGACAGCTGCTCATTTCCATCGGTGTGGACGGTGACCAAGTCCTTCGTTTCCGTGTCAAACACAAACCACCTGTTGTAAACATGAGAGGCACGCTGTGAGCTGTTTGGTGAAATGCAAGGCTGTTCCGACAGCAGAAAGTCTGTTCATCGCAGGGCCATGGAAACCCACTCAGCTCTTACTCCAGAAAACATGGGGTTAGCGAGAGATGGACACAGAGTGGTGGCATTAGGTCCTGTGTCAGATAGTGTAGCATTAGGTCACATGTGCCATCCGTTCCACCCTAGGATACTTGAATTCTGTCACATGCCATCTGTCAGCAGATAGATGATGGTGACGTTTGCCATGCAGGGCTTACTGAATTAAAGCCTTGGTGTCTCAAAGAGAGTTAAATGGGAGATGGTATGTATATCCGTGGGTGAGTCCCTGTGTGTGTACAGGAGTGAGCCTGTGTGTGGGCTTTTGTACACAAGTGCAGTACCAGAGGGCACCAGCAGAGGGTGCCAGATCTCCCAGGAGATGGAGTTACAGATGGCTGTGAGCTGCCTGATGTGGGTTGGGGGCAGGGGTGAGAGGGGACAAATCAGGGTCCTCTGAAGGAGCAGTTTGTGCTCTTAACCTCTGAGCCGTCTCCCTAACCTCCCACAAGCAGTAGTAGCTCTCTTTATAAACCCCACATGTAGAAAAGCAGATTTAGAGTGGTACGGTTGTTTTGCAAAGGACTGTGGGAGGGAACATCTCAGACCATACACCTGGAACTACAATAGACTCAGTCCCTCCTCCACTCCCTCCTCAACCAGGGTTTTGCTCGCGGTCATTCCACTTGCTCTTCGACAACCTCAGGTCTGAAAATATTCAATGGAAAAATCCGGACATTTTCCATGAGTTTTACATGGTGTCTGTTCCAAGGACACTATCTGTTTCCTGTCATCTCTGTCAGAGAGTCCTTTGACCTCCCTTTCAGGAGGGGGTGAGGCAGTCCAGCGTAACCAGACATCTCTGTACATATGTACGTATGTCATGATGGAGCCTCTGGTTATTAGTTACTGCTGTTCAACTCTCTCTGAGCTGAAGTACTCCTTTAGGTCTTATCACGGGCATGTGTCGGGTCCCGGACCACAACCCTCGAGGGCTGTTCTGCTGAGTCAGACTACACAGAGGCACAGGCACGCACTGCCAAACAGTGACACCAGCTGCCACTAACACCCACTAGGCAGCGCTGCAGATGCCCTATGAACATGGCTTTTTCAGTCACTGGTGCTGGTGGTATCACCGACAAGAGAGACAGAGTTTATGTAACTGGCTCACAGACTCACTGCTGCTACACGGGGAGCCCGGGGAGCAGCGCAGAGCTACTGCCCACCATGTCAGAGGAGGCTGGCATAGATCTACTGCCCACTGTGTCAGAGGAGGCTAGCACAGAGCTACTGCCCACCGCATCAGAGGAGGCTGGCACAGATCTGCTGCCCACCGTGCCAGAGGAGGCTGGCAAGAAGAAGCTGAGTCTGAACATGAGGCCTGGGATCTGGGGAACTTTCTACAGTGCTGAAAAGTTCTCTAGCTGAGAAATCAGGCCTCATTTCTCAGGGCCTTGGGATACTTTCTTGCCCATTTCAAAGGCTGAGGCTCCTGCCGTAGGCTCTAGGGCAGTGGTTCTCAACCTGCCTGAAGGTAAGACCCTTTAATACAGTTCCCCATGTTGTGATGACCCAAACCATAAAATGATTTTTACTGCTACTTCATAACTGTAATTGTGCTACTGTTATGAACCATAACATAAACATCTGTGTTTTTCCATGGTCTTTGGGGGTTGTGACCCACACAGGTTGAGAACCACTGCTCTAGAGCAGGATTCTGGGAGCTCTCTAGAGCCTCTGGGGCTGGAGGCAGGTGGGGTGGGGTGAGGTTCACTGAGGCTGGGGAGGAGAAGCATTGACAGATCCCACTTTCCTCCAGGTTTCAATTGGGAAGGACTCAGTTTCGCTTTTGAGTTTTGACTGAATTCTCAGTAAATGACCGGAACTAAGACACTGCAGCCAAAACTGGCATGCACCTGCCCCTGCCCTCAGGGAGGCTCAGACAGCTAGCTGCTCTCCACAACTCTGCAAGCATAGGCTGTTCCGGGGGGGCAGCAGCGGGTAGGGGTGGGGTGCTTACCTCCCAGTCAGTGTCCCGACTGCAACCACAGACCCTGAAGGATGAAAACCAGAGGACTGAGCTGGATCCTAAAATATTTTAAAGGAGGTGTCAATACATGGCCAGACACAGCGAGTCAGCACAAACCCCACCCGTGTAGTGTTCTCGGGCTCCAGAGCTCTCTCTGAAAAGCCTCTTTTCTCCCTACAAGAGATGCAGGCCCACTTGGGTCCCTGTCACGCTTCGTTTACAACAGATGCCTCCCTTCGGAATTTCTTTGTCCACCCTATGGTCTGTCCTATGTACAGTAGTCACAAAACGCAGGCAGGTGACTGCTCTTTTCTGGGGCATAGTCTGCGCATCCAGAACTCTCTCTGACCCCTGGGCCCAGTAGGAAGCTGGTCAAATGGTGTGCTCGGTTTATCTGGAAATACAACTACTGCCCACCGCCAGGGCAGGGGTGGACATTGGATTCCCAGAGGTGCTACTAGGTAAATATAAAGCATAAGAACAGATGTGACTCCAGACGCCCGTCACACCATCTTTAACCACTCCCAACAGAGGTAGCTAGCACTAAGCCAATGGGCTGGCAGATCCTAGGAGCTCTTGTTGGAGCAAACCCAACAAGCTGTTTCTGTGGACAAGCTCACCTGAGCCACACAGCTGCTTTCATGGACGTGCTGAGGTGTGGCGAGGCTAAGGGTTCCAAAGTCTTGGGGAGGGTGGACAGAGGGTCTGGGACACTGCAGGGCTGGGGTTCCAGGTCTGATCCCCAAATTATGCTAGGCCAGAGCAGTTAGCTGTGTGGTAAGGGGCCGGGAGGTGGAGTGTCAGGGTGCTCCGCTGCCAGTTGTGTCCACGGAACTACAGGGGTGCTGCTCTCCCCAATGACCCCTGCTGTGGGAGTGCCTACCCTCAGGCCTTCTACTCTGGTGCTCAGCTGGCTGCAGCGACCAGAACCCAGTGGCAGCCTTCTCCGAATGTGGAAGACAGGGGAACCAGACTTAGCCCTGGGCCGTTGGAAATATCAGCAGCTTTTCAGGGAATGAAGGGATGATTCTGGCACCCTGCAAAAGGGCTGTTTCCTTATATGGGGTACATGAGTTGTCAGGATACAAGCAACCAAGCGAGTCTTGCCTGTGGTTCGTGGTGGTGTGATGGAACACAGCCTGGGCTTGGAGTCAGTCTGAGCTGGGCGGCTGAGCCACTTACTTTTTATGTGTTCCAGTGTTTTGCCTGCACATATGTAACTACATCAATGTACATGCCTGGTAACCCCAGAGATCAGAAAAAGGTGTCAGATAGCCTGGAGCTGGAGTTACAGATGGTTTTGAATTGTCATGTAGGTGTGGGGAACTGAACACAGTCCTCTGCAAGAGCAGCCAGTGACCTTAATGACAGAGCCACACACATACCCCAAGTTCCAACTTATTACCTCAGTGACCTTTACAAGTTCCTCCTCTCCTGATCAACAGAGTCAGAGCAAAACTAAAGGTCTTCAACCCACAGGGCTGGATGGTACAACACATTCACAACCTAGTGTGCTAGCAGCTCAGGAATACAAGACTGATTTTCATTCGGGGGGAAAGGGATTTTGACACTCTGATAAGAAATCTGTGTTTTCCCTGTGAAGTTCAAAACGAATGCTCTGTCTTTGTTATCAAACTCCAGAGAGGGAGAAATGAAACTGCGTATTCTCAGTGTGGCTTGTAACCCTGTATAAGATGTGCCGTCACGGGACACGGGCTATTCACACGGCTTTCTAGCACTTTGTTCCTTTAACTCTGCTCTTAGGAACGCTGACAACCCCGCTTGGAAACACTAACTTGCTGCTGCTGCTGCTTCTGCTGCTTAGAATAATATGGGTGAGAGTGCTCGAAACATTCTTGGTTTTTTTGGGGGTGGGAGTTGTTTTGTTTTTTGTTTGTTTTGGTTTTGTTTTTTGTTTTGGTTTTTGGTTTTGGTTTGTTTGTTTGTTTGTTTTGTTTTTTTGAGACAGGGTTTCCCTATGTAGTCATGGCTGTCCTGGAACTCACTCTGTAGACCAGGCTGGCCTTGAACTCAGAAATCCACCTACCTCTGCCTCTCAAGTGCTGGGATTAAAGGCGTGCACCACCACTGCCCGGCTTGAAACATTCTTAAAAGCAACGTAATTATTAAAAGGTAAAACACTGCCTTTAGACTTCTTATCACTTGGTTTTTCATACAAAAACATATCCTAGATGAGTTTCTACAAACGGACTAGAAATGGGGCATGCGCACTGACCTCGATGATTTTGTCCCAGACTGGCCGGTGACCAACAGCGTCCCAGAGAGTGGCGTGCTTGTCATGTCCGCAGGTCAAGAACTGAGGTTTGGAGGCATGGATGGCCAACCCCCAAAGCTCATCAGTGTGACCCTACGAAAGAACCAGGACAGAGGGACTCTGAGACCCCACCGTCACGACGAAACCCCCAGTGACTGTCTTATGTGCTCCTGAGCTTAATCACGACACAAAACACAGCTCTGAAGCAGAAGGCCACCGCACTGGGAAACTCACATGTATCCATGTTAATGGGGAAACGAAAGACCTTGGCATTTGACGAGTTGACCATACCTGAGTGATGGGTGTGAAGTCCCCTGACAAGGTGCCTTGCAGGACGAAGTTTCTAGTAGTGCCTATTAAGATGGCGTTGCCCTTCCCCTCAGCCACTGTCCGTATTGGGCCAAACTGCTCCGGGATCTGTGTCGGGAAAAGTCACATGCAAACAAAGACTTAAGATTTCATTCCATTGGGTTTTTCTGTTGTTGTTTTTTGTTTTTTTTTAAGAGAAGGTGTCATTATGTAGTTCAGGCTAGCCTTGAACTTACTATGCAAGCTAGACTGGCCTCAATCTCAGGTAATCTTCCCGACTCAGTCTTCCAAGTGCTAGGAATATAGAGGCTAGGAATATTTAGCTCAGGCATTAAAAATATTGATACCATATGATAGCTCTTACGACAAACTTTATAGATACCATTATATACACCCAGAAGAAGGACTCAGTTATATAAATACCACAGCCAGCTGCTGAGCAGTGATGGAAATCCCAGTCTACTCATGTGTGCACACTCAAGTGGGTGTGCATGTGTGTGCTGTGTATGCACGCACACGTGTTTGCCTGATAGTGGGGCTAGAGGTGGAAGCTAACACCTCTTGAATCTAAGGCAAGCACTAAACTTTTTTTTTGTTTGTTTATTTTTTCGAGACAGGGTTTCTCTGTGTAGCCCTGGCTGTCCTGGAACTCACTCTGTAGACCAGGCTGGCCTCGAACTCAGAAATCCACCTGCCTCTGCCTCCCACGTTCTGGGATTAAAGGTGTGCGCCACCACTGCCCAGCTCAACTTTACTTTTAAAGATAGAGACATTTGAATTAGCTTAAAATAAAGCTTTAATACATCTTAAAATATATCTTAATATCTCAAGATAAAGCCAGAGTAAAGTCTTAGCAGGGCATAATGGCCTTTATTCCTAGCTCTGGGGAGACAGAGGCAGGCAGACTTCTGTGAGTTTGAGGCCAGCTTGGTCTCTATAGTGAGTTCCCAGGTCAGCCACGGATAGAGAGACCCTGTCTAAAAAACAAAAACAAAACAACCAAAACACAAAACAAACAAAAACCAACTAACCAACAACAAAACTTTTCTTGAAAGTATTTTTTGACAAGAAAAAAAAAAGGATTGGGGAGGAGTGTGATGGAAATGTAAGAATTCCCCAAAGCTTCCTTTACCTTCAAAGTGGTCGTCCCTCGAGCAGGGCCATGTGCATGTTGATAAGTGTGGAGGTGCCAGAGACGTTCAGAACCTGTCAAGGGCAGTTCTGTCTGCTAAAGCGAAGCTTGTTCTTTCACTAGAGTAAAATGAGAGGGGGGGGCTGTCCAGGAGAGAAGCAGCCTCCCTGCCTGCCACATGCTCTCTACCATGCGTGTGTTGGCAGAGACTGCGCTGGTGTGCCCGTGTGCCAGTGTGCCTGTGTGCCTGTGTGCCCGTGTGCC